CCCTACATTGTTTATTTTTTCTTTGAACATATGGTTTTCTTTTCATTTTTTTTGTGACTTTTTCAAAAATATTTTTGTCAATTTTACTTTTTAATATTAAGATGGTTAAGAATTTAACTTTGTTATTTTTTTTCTTTTTTTCTTTTATTTTTTTATAGGATTAACATGGTTTGCAGGTTTGTTGCGATAACTTAGGTTGTCCTAATTTATGGATTTGGTGAGTTTTTTTTTTCAATTGAACTTGGTTTTTTATAGTTTATTTTTTTCTCATATTATTAAAAGAATAGTTTTACAAAAAAACTGTTTTATTAAACTTTATGAAGTAACAAAAATAACAATTGTTCATCCAATATTAATTGCATTGTTGATTATAATATTTTACTTTTTTTTTCCTTTTTATTTTTTTATTTTTTTATAATTTATTTTTTAAAATATTTTTTTTTCAATTTTATCTTTTAAATTGAGATTATTGAGAATTTAACCTTGTAATTTGCTTCCTTTTATTTTGCATTTATATGACATTGGCGTGGTTTATGGCTTTACCAAGGTAACTCAAGTTTGCCTTAGTTTACGAGTTTAATAAATTATCTTTTTTTAATTAAATTTACGAGTTTTAGAGAAAAGTCATATTATTAAATTTTTAAAAATAACAAAAGTTAAAAGTTGTGAGGAAACAATTGTTCACCCACACATATTTCACTATGAATGAAAATAATAACCCATAATGTTTTGCTATCTTATATATATATATATATATATATATTTGAATTTTTGTTATGATTTTTTTAATTTTTTGGTTGATTTTATCTTTTAATATTGGAATAGTTGAGAATTTGACTTCATAATTTTTTTATTTTACCTTTTTATAAGGTTAGCATGGTTTAAGGGTTTGCTTGGTGTCTTTATTTTTAATTAAACTTGACTTTTTTTATCGTTTTTTTCTTATATTATATAGTTAAAACAATAGTTTTAAAGAAAAGTCATATTATTAAATTATAAAAAATAAAAAAGTTAAAAGGTGTGAGGAAATCATTGTTCATGAACGCACATTTCATTGTGAATGAAAATAATAACCCACAATATTTTGCTATCTTTTTATCTTTATATTTTTGAATTTTTGTTATGATTTTTTTTTATTTTTTTGATTGATTTTTTATTTTAATATTGGAATAATTGAGAATTTGACTTCATATTGTTTTTTATTTTACCTTTCTATAAGGTTAGTATGGTTTAAGAGTTTGCTAGGTGTTTTTATTTTTAATTAAACTTGATCTTTTTATTATTTTTTTCTTATATTATATAGTTAAAAAAATAGTTTTATAAAAAAGTTATGTTATTAAACTTTATAAAGTTTATAGACCTATTCACAGGTTTGACTCGTTAGTTTAGACCACAGGTCTATCAAGTTTAAATTTTTTAACTTAGTTTTTTTTTTATCCTTAGATACTAGGTTAATTGGGAATTTAGTTTTATAATTGGTTTCATTTTGCTTTTTATGGGGTTATCATAATCTAAAACAAAACATCTCGGTATTGAGTTGGTATTTGGTTTTGTAATTTTATATTTTTATTATTATATAGTTAAATAAGAAATAGATTAAAAAGATAGAATTATAATCCCAGTGAAGTTCATAACTCGGTTCATAGATTTGACATACTAACTCGACTTACCTTATTTATAGGTTTGACGAGTTTACTTACCGATATGATATAACTTTTCTTGTTTTTGATATTTTAATTGTTTTTTATTTATTTTTATTCAATTTCATCATTTAACATTGGATTGGTTGGGAAATGGACTGTATTATTGATTTTTGTTTGCTTTTTAGGGATAATAATTTCAAATAAGTGTATATATTTTAGGTTAGTGCTCAATTTTGTTAGCATATGTTTTTATCATATAATTAAATAAAAAAATTATAAAATAAGTTATTAAACCTTATAGAGTCCATGACTCGGGTTGCACAGATGGGATGGTGCGAGTGGAAGTCGATCCAAGTGAACCTATAAAATCAATTGATTTAAGTCAAGTTAGCCCTAACATAATTTAATTAAAATATTAAATCGAGAGATTTTAAAATTTACCCATGTGATCAGGTTTGATAACACTTTTAAAAATTCTGCTTGCAAGCTTTTTATTCTGTGTGTGTGTGTGTGAAAGATCACCACTTATTTTAAAATCAAATTCCTAATATTCTAAATTCATTTTTATAAAATGAGTGATGAAGATAATTATAAAATTTATTTGAAAAATATTAGTTTTATGAAGATTTTCTTTTATTTTTTTTTAAAAACATATTTTTATAATTTAGATCATAAATTTTGATTTTTATAAGTTCATTGATTGAGGAGGGAAAAAAAAGTTAAATTAAGAATGTGTTTGGTATTTTAATAAATTTTATTTTTTAAGAGTATTTTTTATTTTAAAATATATCAGAATATATTTTTTAGTTTTTTTATTTTGCTTTTAACATAAAAATATAAAAACAATAAAAAAACCACTAAAAAAACATCATGATATTTTTTAAAATAAAAAATACGTCTACAAAACACTCAAGTACCACCACATTTTCAAACTCCACATCGAATAAAAAGTAACACAGGTTAGTCTACAGTCACCCTGTAGCACTATTAACCAATTAAGCTACTAGATATAGAGCTTAGCACCACCAAACCATGGCGAGCAGAACATGCAATGAAGAGTAAAGAGGTACATTGAATCTAGACATAACTTTACAAAATGGCACCAGTGTCGCCGTTCCCCCCACATCTTGAATTAACGAATAACTTAATTCCTGTCAGTATCACCAACGGATTTACAATTATACCAACCAAAAGAAATTATGAAAGATATAACATTTGTAAGTGCTTTTCTGGGTTTTTCCCCCCGTAGGTTTTTCAGTCAAAATCATTAAAAATTATCAATTCAATTGGTAAGTGGTAATAGTCAAATATAATTTATTTTATTTTTATATAAATATAAAGATCTTTATAACAAACAAAAATGATTTCTAATAGTCAAATTGGTAATTGAATTTATTTTTAAATGTATTCTAAATAATATAATATAATATAATTCAATTCAATTATGTGATTTAGTATTTTATTTTAAATATCAAAATTATAATATATTATTAATTGAATTTAAATATGCTTAAAAATTAAATTAAATTCAATATGATTCCGAAACTGGCTTAAGTTACCGAGCAGGGATAGTCCTCTATCCCCTTTTCAATTTGTTAAAAAGAAAAAGAAAAAGAAAAAGAAAAGACAGTAGGTAAAAAGGCAAATAATGAATGTACATCGTGTTCTGGACTTTAGTCTATTTCAGGAAACAACCGTGTATATGTACATGTATCTCTTTACTTTGCATCCAGCCTTGAACATGTCCTGATACAAGCTTGGACTGTTCGAACAACTCAGATTATTAAAATAAACTTAGTGAGGTAGTGTTTATAGTTATAATAACGTTTTTTTAATTTAAAATGCAACAAAAATGATTTCTAATAGTCAAATTGGTAATTGAATTTATTTTTAAATGTATTCTAAATAATATAATATAATATAATTCAATTCAATTATGTGATTTAGTATTTTATTTTAAATATCAAAATTATAATATATTATTAATTGAATTTAAGTATGCTTAAAAATTAAATTCAATATGATTCCGAAACTGGCTTAATTTACCGAGCAGGGATAGTCCTCTGTCCCCTTTTCAATTTGTTAAAAAAAGAAAAAGAAAAAGAAAAAGAAAAGACAGTAGGTAAAAAGGCAAATAATGAATGTACATCGTGTTCTGGACTTTAGTCTATTTCAGGAAACAACCGTGTATATGTACGTGTATCTCTTTACTTTGCATCCAGCCTTGAACATGTCCTGATACAAGCTTGGACTGTTCGAACAACTCAGATTATTAAAATAAACTTAGTGAGGTAGTGTTTATAGTTATAATAACGTTTTTTTAATTTAAAATGCATTTTTTAAAATATATTAAAATAATATTTTTTAATTTTTAAAATTTATATTTAATCATGATATCAAAACGTTAAAAAAATTAATTTTAAAAAAATTTCAAATTTTTTAAAAAGCTAAAAGCTTTTAAAACCAAGATAAATTGATAAATTAATCGAAGAAAAGACATGTTCCAGCAACTGGATCAAAGAAATATCGGTGCAAGTAGTTGAAAGAAGGTTGGACTATAGGGTTTTAATAATTAATTAAGGTATTTATGTTGCCTACCAAAATCAAATTCCTCCTCGATTGTATCTTGAATTCACTATCAACTCTTAGATAGATGCATTCAAAAGAAAAGAAAAGAATTTCTTGTGATTTTCTCTCAGCGCAAGGATAAACTCTCCTCAAAAACCCCAAAGACATTGATCAGTTGATGTTCATACAAAACAACGACAAATAAGGAATTCATCAGGAATTTCCCAAGATCTTGGAGGGGCTAGTCTCTTCTGGGCTCTACCATTGTACCATTGCATTTGTCTTGCAGCTACTTCTTCTCAAATAATTTTGTTTTCTATGAAACAGTCTGTCGTGAGAATATATATATATATATATATATATATATATTTTATAAAACTGTTTAATTTCGAAGTCAGAAAATCCAATTACAACAAATTTAGACGACTACTGTGTTTCATAAATAGACTCTGTCTGGAGACTGACATATTTCAATGGGGTTTTGCAGTTTGAATTTTTTTTAAATTGTTTTAATGTGTTATATTTGAAATAAAAAATATTTTAAAAAATAATTATTAACACATTCTTTAACACCAACCGGTGTAACATCATTAATAAGGGGCGATGAGTTTAATCTCCCTTGCCACCCTCATATTTGACTCTCCATGTGTACTTTATGGAAGGAATTTGCATCCCACCACTTTCACAGGTCATCTATGCGGCCTAAATTCGCAAATCATAGGTCTTGGATAGTCTCTTTGTAAAAATTCCTCGACCTTTGAAGTTGCCTTTTCTGTTTATATAAAGATAAAGACTAGTATAAAGGTAACATATGCACTTTAGCATCACACCATTCTCTAAGCTTGGTGCTGTGCGAACCATTCTGTAGCCTGAATGTTTTCATCTCCATAGGTTGAGAGACTTATCGGAGACAGAGACTCTTTGAGTTTTCCCAAACACTTCAAATCAACCATGGATTCTCTGGCAATTGAAACAGGTCATCAAGAAATCCATGACGTTGAGAGGAATGGGCATGCTGGAAAGGCTCAGTGGGTGCTCAATGCTCCTGAGCCACCTAGCCTGTGGCAAGAGCTCACGGGTTCCGTCAGGGAAACAGTTTTGCCTCATGCCAGGAGATTCTCAACTGTCAAGGACAAGGGTAGCCTTTCCAAGACTGTAATTTCATTCCTGCACACAATTTTTCCTATATTTTGTTGGTGCCGGAACTACAAGGCAACAAATTTCAAGAACGATCTGTTGGCGGGTCTAACTCTCGCTAGTCTCTGCATTCCTCAGGTAAAAAACAAGCAATCATGGAAGTTTACAATGGTCACATAAACAGTCAACATTGCTATTTATTTGTAGTAACTAATTTCTTAGTTTGTCCGAAAATAATACAAAATTTCATGCAGAGTATTGGATATGCAACTCTAGCAAAGCTTGATCCTCAATATGGCCTCTGTAAGTTATCTTAAACTTCTGTTGAGGCTAGCTAGCTATCTTTGATTTAATTAAACTATGTGTGTGTGAATTTGTTTTTCGTTTTCAGATACAAGTGTTATCCCGCCTCTCATTTATGCTGTAATGGGAACTTCAAGAGACATAGCAATTGGGCCAGTGGCTGTGGTTTCACTGCTCTTGTCTTCGATGATTCTGAAACTAGAAGATCCTGAGGCTAATCCAATTCCTTACAGAAATCTTGTTCTTACCACAACCTTTTTTGCAGGAATTTTCCAAGCAGCATTTGGACTCTTCAGGTGGTTCGTTCACAAGTGTATTTTTTGCTGGTTAGTGTTATTTCAACCTTTATAGTACTTATGCTGCTTAGTTTTCCTTAATGGAATTCGCAGGTTGGGTTTCCTTGTGGATTTTCTCTCCCATGCTGCAATTGTTGGGTTTGTATCAGGGGCAGCCATTGTCATTGGTCTTCAACAAATGAAAGGGCTACTTGGGATTGCTCATTTCACAACTAAGACTGATGTTATCTCTGTAATGGAAGCTATTTGGAGAGCAGTTCATCATTCTGTATGTTACTGTCCCTAGATTTTCTCCTCAGTCAGCCTATTAATTCATTCGATTACATATATTGCCGTAGAAATGCCAACTTATCCTTCGTTTTCCTTTCTTGATCACAGTGGAATCCCCATAATTTTATACTCGGATGCTCATTCTTAACGTTTATTCTAATAACCAGATTTGTGGTAAGTCCCAATAGCAATAACTTATACCTGATTAAGAATATGAGAAATTTCTTTCTGCCGTTATTAAAGTCATTTAATTAAGGATGATAGATTCGTGATTCTCTCAGGGTAGAAGGAACAGGAAGCTCTTCTGGCTGCCAGCAATTGCTCCTTTGATATCAGTTGTTTTATCAACTCTTCTAGTTTACCTGACAAGAGCAGATAAACATGGGGTAATGATTATAAAACACATTAAAAGGGGCTTAAACCCAAACTCAGTCCATCAGTTACAGTTCAATAACCCACACATCGGAGAAGTGGCTAAAATTGGGCTAATAGTCGCTGTCGTCGCACTCACTGTAGGTTTCAAACAATTCAACTCTAATTTTCATTAGAAGTACTAAATCAATCAACATTGCTCACTTTCCATACCATTCTGCTGTTATGTCAAATGCAGGAAGCAATTGCAGTAGGTAGGTCTTTTGCATCCATAAAAGGATACCACATCAATGGAAACCAAGAAATGGTTGCCATGGGATTTATGAACATTTTGGGATCTTTCACTTCTTGCTATGTTGCAACTGGTGAGAGATTCTTCCAAGACTTTACGTAGGATATATCTAACAACCCATATTTTCTTACATTTATGAATGCATTAATTAACCATCAAACTATGCAGGTTCGTTCTCGCGCAGTGCTGTCAATTTTAGTGCTGGTTGTGAAACAGCTATGTCAAATATTGTGATGGCCATCACAGTGATCATATCCTTGGAATTGTTCACAAGGCTATTGTATTACACTCCCATTGCAATCCTTGCTGCAATCATTCTTTCTGCTTTACCTGGACTCGTTGACCTTCATGAAGTCTACAATATCTGGAAAATTGATAAGCTAGATTTCCTTGCTTGCGCTGGGGCCTTCATTGGGGTCTTATTTGCTTCCGTGGAGATTGGTCTCCTAGCTGCGGTAACATTAGTTTCTGCCTTTTACTTCCCGGGCATGCATATACATAAAGATAATAAATGCATGTCAATACAATAAAAATTGTTTCAATAATTTCTTCTTCTTCTTTTCTTGTTTTATGAACTAATAATGCATGGAAAGCTTAGAAATATTAGATTTTATTGGCTAAAATCTTTCTTCTTTCCTTTTTTTTCCCTGGTAATTTACTGCAAGTTGTAGTATCAGGCCTGATTACTGTGCATGTCAACTTCGTATAGTTTATGCACTTGAAGGATCACATCTAGAATTTTCGTGCTTCCTCATACAATAAATTTTTAACAATTATAAATGAATAGATCATATATCCAACCTTTGCGGACAACATTAGATACTTGATGGAAACTGAGAAGTGGACTTCGTGGAGCTCATAATTAACAAAAGAAATTTGTGGAAAGGCCAAACGATCTCAGATCAATAAAGTACCAAAATTTGACTGATTCATTGGCGTTACAGTTACATATACCCTACCAAGTTGACTAAGTGTCATGTATCATGCCAGTGGATGTGTGGCGAAAACAGTGACTGTGTACAGTGCGTATATATGAAACAAGGGTCTATTTAGCGTCGTTGTGAAGCCGTCGTTTTGCTTTTTTTTATAAAAAAAAATGCTTTGTACTATAAAATTTTAATATTTTTAATAAATTATTTTGATCTATCGGTATTAACAATAAATTTTAAAAAATAAAAAAATCTAAGTTATATAATAAAAAATATAACAACGTCAGCTGCATCCAGACCATTTAAACATTTCTTCTTTTTTTGTTTTCTGATTTTATATTTGTTGAGATAAGTTTTCACATAATTTGAACGGTTATGTTGAGTTTCAGGTGACGATATCTTTTGTGAAGATTATTATAATCTCAATCAGACCAGGCGCGGAAGTACTTGGAAGACTCCCTGAAACTGATATATTCTGTGATGTTGATCAATACCCTATGGCTGCTAAGAATCCTCAGGTCCTCATAACCCGTGTTAAGTCTGGTTTGCTTTGCTTTGCTAATGCAAACTTTGTCAATGAAAAGTAAGGACTTGCTATGCTATAATGTTCATTAATTATACATAACATATACAGTATACAATAATGAACTAAGCTCTATTCCGTTTCATTTTCTAATCTGCTGTTGAAGGATAATGAAATTGGCAACTGAAGAGGAAGAGGGCAGTAAAGGGAAAAGGACTATTCAAGTTGTGATTCTTGACATGTCCAGTAAGTGTTTACGGAAAAATCAAGGATGGGTTCGTGTTAGTTATGGACTGTATCAAAAGTTTCTCCTCTCTGATAAATTTTTTTTTTTCAAAATCGTTTTCTGTGTTGCAGATTTAACGAACATTGATGTATCTGGAATCGCTTCTTTGGTGGAATTGCACAAGAATCTTGCCTCGAGTGGAATGGAGGTAATTAATACAGTGACTGTGTCCTATACTATGAATGTATATGTATTTTGGCCATACAAATTCTCTTATCATGAACGGTTGTCTCTCAGCTAGCCATAACAAACCCTAAGTGGCAAGTGATTCACAAGCTAAGGGTAGCCAACTTTGTGACCAAAATTGGAGGAAGGGTCTTCTTGACAATCGGAGAAGCTGTGGATGAATGTCTGGGCGCCAAAATGGCTGCTGTTTAAGCATGTGACTTCCAATTCTGCTTTCTTTTATCTTGTGAGTGTGATCTAGTCCCCTGTGTCTGTGTTACTGGGACATAAATGAAGCTTCATCTCCTCTACCTTCCTCTACCTAATCCTAGCTAGGGCTCAAAAGTGGAAGTCCACGGCGGAGGTAGCAGCAAAGGTGATTGTGAAAGTAGTTAAGTTGTGATTTTATGTAAGAAAGAAATGTAACATAAACCATGACCTTTGTGATATGAATGTTTCTATCAATAATTTTAAACTCTTGGTCTTATAACGGCTCAAGTTCTCTTTTTCACCATTACAACTTTTATTTGATTTGGTTTTGTAAAGAGAATTTAAGAGTGTGATAATGGTTGGTTTTTTAATTTTTTTTTTTTTGAAATATAATAAAAA